TATTTTAGATTATCTTCTAACAATGATAGAGATAATGGCAATAACTAATAATTATGAGATATTTTAAATATATATCTCCTATTTAATATTTTGTATTCATATTTTGTAACAATTATTTTATATTTTTCAAATATAATTTTTAAATATAAATATTAAAATTATAAAAAATGATATTACACTAATTGAAAATAAAAACTCAACATAACAGTAAAAAATATAAAAACAAGTAAAAATTATATTAACCAAACAAAGTAATAGGTATTAGAATTTGAATAAATTGTAGAAATAACAGTGTTTACATATATTTAAAAATATCAAAATTCTAAATTTAAAATAAATTAAATAAAAATATATTTTTAACAGGTCCAAAATGTTAGATAAAGTATTAAAAAAATATATGATGTTGATATTTTATATTTAATTATAATTAATAAATTTTATATAAATTGGTATGAGTTTATATTTAATTCACTATAATAAAATTATAAATTTTATATTATGTCAAGAAAATATTTTTATTTTTAATTAATTTTTTTATTATTGTATGATGTTCGATTATGTATGATTTATAAAATAATGAATTTATTTTTGTATGATTCCTTTAAAAATTTAAAATAAGAAAATAATATTAAAATAAAATAATAATGTATACATTTTAGAAACATGATAAAAAAATAACAAATGAATATCTAGACAAATCATGTAATAGTTAAATATGGCAATGTAAGAGAGAAATTAGAGATTATAATAAAATATTATAAAATAAAAAAGATATAGTATTGGTGATTTAATTTTCTTATTGTTAAAAAATTATTAATAATACTACACTTACTTTAATACTAATGACAGTAGATATTATTATTCTATATCAAGAGAACTTATTTTTCATTATATTTCTAGTTTTTATAACAATAATTTATTATAACTTCTAAATTTAATATTTTTATTGTGGTCTTAAGGTTTTTAATTATTACAGCAACATGTTACTTATATTTTGTAATTTTATTGTTCGTTTTTTAGCTGTATAGTATTATTTTATTAGATTCAAAATTTTATACTACAAAAAGTTATTCTACACTGATTTTATAGTTTTATAAATATAGATAGTATAATATATGATTAAAATATTATAATATAATTTTAAACATGATAAAAAATATTTGACCAAATTTTTAAATTTTATGATTTTTTTACTTTGAAAATAATATATTTTTAAAAACAATTATTTTATTATCAGAAAATATTATTTGTAAATATTTTTATATTATAATTTATATTGATAGTTTATTTTATGCAAATGGCTTTGTGTGGTTTCTATTAAAATATTTATTTAAGCAGAAAAAAAAAGTAAACAATAGTTTCATAATTAACGTGTAAAAATATTTATGTGTGTTTAGTTTTCGTTTATTAAGGCATTAAAATGTTATAAAATACAAAGACATTGTGGCGATCATATGTAAATTTTAAAAGTGATTTAAATAAGTTATTTTTAATATAAACAATTAAAATAATTTATTGAAAATATAATTCCTAAAAGATATTTTTTAAAGAATGACAAAATTCACACATTACTTGCCATTGTTAAAATTATGTTATACAGTTAAATATTAAAAGCATTCCCTTCTTCTAACAGTAAATTTGTTTGAAACACTTTTTTTTTTTACATTTCAATTTTTAACAAATATTATTTTAAGAAATTTTGAACACAAATATTTATTAAAATCAATAATTAAAACATGTATTTAATACATATAATCAAACATATGTAAGATCCAACCAAAGTATGCTACTATTGAAAATGATAGTTCTCATAGTATTCATTTTTGTCACTAGTGCAAATGTCTCCTCATAATCAAATCCATCAGTCTGAGTGTATCTTTTTGCAATTAATCTGACCTTGTATTAATTAATGGTACTATTTGATTGATACTTAATTGTGTAGATCCACTTGTAAACCACTATTTTCTTGTTATTAGGTCATTCTACAATCTCCCAAGTGGTATTTGTTTCTAATTTTATATCTTTTTATTCATTACTTGAACATAATTCTCATCTTTTAAGGCTTCCTATATTGACGTAGGGATATTTGAAAAATTAATAGCAGAGATAAAACTCTAATGTGTTACAAATAGATGTTTAGTGGATATAAACTAAGAAATATAATACTTGACATATGAACATTTTCTTTTTGCAAAGCAATGGGCAGATAATCTATATTAGACTCACAATTGTTTAAAGAAATATTTAATAACTCAATATTAATGGTACTTAAACTTACCACTAGTTCAATTGACTGAAGTTTTCGTTAGATAAAGTCATGTTTTCTTCTCTTCCAAGATAGGTGTACTTACTTTTATTTGCAATGAGTCATCACTTTCTTCTTTGCTTGAATCAGAGGAATGGGGAGTAAATTCTTATAGATGATAAGAGTTATGAGGAAGAAAAGATAAATATTATATGGACCACTAGACTCAACCTCATGATGACTCTCCCCATAATGTTGAATATGTGACTAAAACTTGTCCTATTAAAGGTGACATCTATAGAAACATAAACTGAACAACTTGAAGGATGATAACATATACAAATTTTTTTATTTGGAACATATCCTATGAAAATATCCTTAACAACATTAGGATTCAAATTGCCACAATGTTGACTCTGAACATGAAACAAAAGCAATACAAACAAAAACATGAGTAGAAGGATGAAAGGTAGACATAGACTAAACATGACTGTAGCCATTCAAAATGTGACTTCAACCTATTGATAAGTAAGTAGTCATTCAAATTCTTCTCAATATGATTTTGGCATTGTCATATGAAATAACAAAGTGCTAGTAATTTTTAAGAGATGTCAATTTTTTCTTTTTGCAACTACATTTTGTTAAGGAGTATCTAAACATGTCAACTCATGAAAAACACTATTTTCTTATAGCAATTAAAACAAATTTTAGTTCACATATACTCATCCATTATTTGTCCATTAACATTTAATTGCTTGTTCAAATTGAATTTTAATTAAATAATAAAAATTCATAAATAGTTGAATCACTTCTATTTTATCCTTTATAAAAAGGATCCATGTCATAAGTTTGTAATCATTAATAAAGGATACAAACCATTAAGCACTATAAAAAGTTAGCAATAGGAGCACGTCCCTATATATCAAAATAGATAGATAAAAGGTGCATTACTTTTTAAAATTATTTGAAAAATAACATGATGATGCTTAACAAACATCACATTAAAAAAACTCAATTGATTCTTTCAAACATAAAGAAGGAAGCAACATATTTTTATGCAATCTAAAATGTAGATGACCTAAACACTTACAGTGAAGAGAAATTTGAGAAGAGTCATAAGAAAACTAGTTACAAAATTTGAGTTTCCCTATTCCAAAAAACTATTCCTGGACCTTAGTTTTCACTTACATAAAGTAATATAACCATCTTCGTTCCTAAGCAACTCCAATCATCCTTCCTAAGACAAGATCTTGAAAAACATAATGAGATGAAAAAAAAAGAAAAGAAAAGGTTACTGCATAATTTAGATCACAAGAGAATTTATGAATGGAAATAAGATTAGTGGAGAGCTGAGAAATATAAAGAATATTTTTTAATAAAAGAACAGTGAATTGAATATTAGAAAATAGGAGTTTGTAAACTATTAGCAACTATAATGTAATGTATGCCAAATAAAATGGAATAAGAAGTAAGAGAAGAAATGTTAAGAGTTATGTGATCGGAAGTACTAGAGTACAAAACATGGGGTATTACATGAAGATAAATCACAATTCTTACCAATCATGGCAAGAATAGACACGAGTCATCTATGGTGAGAAATACTTATGTTTTAATAAAGAACTTATAGGTTGAAGAAATAATTACCCAAACAGATATTGTTTAAGCAAAGAAAGGTCAAAACTAAGAAAGAAGGTCTTGACAAACAAAACGACATTTGCACAAAGGCCAACAATGATCAAGAAGGCAACATGTGGCTTTCACATAATGACAAGAGCTTCTACGTCATCACATAATGACGAAGTTGATTAGTGGCCCAACCATAGTAACAGTCATGATAGTGGTGGTGAAAACTGAGGCAGAAAAAAAAATGTCAAAGCTTGTGCATATGTGTGCTGTAATAAAGATGACTATTAGAGTTTGGGTGTGTGAAAGTAAAGACCCTTAAATCAAAGGCTTTTATACCAATTTAAAATTTTGAATTGTATCCTATCATTATACATTACAATTTACATGTATATATAGGACTGTAATATTAATATTTACATAAAATACTATTCTAAATTATTTTCTAATGATCATAAAAATAATGATAAATAATTATAAAAATAATAATAATTAACTATAATATTCATATTTTAAATAATCTTCTAACAATGATAGAAATAATGACAATAATTAATAATTAGGAGATATTTTTAATATATATATATATATGTGTGTGTCTTTATTTAATATTTTTTTAATTAATCAAAGTATTCATATTTTGTATCAATTAAAATAATTTATTAAAAATATAATTCCTAAAAGATATTTTTTAAAGAATGACCAAATTCACACATTACTTGCCATTATAAAAATTATGTTATGCAGTTAAATATTAAAAAATCCCTTCTTTTAACAGTAAATTTGTTTGAAACACTTTTTTTTTACATTTCAATTTTTAACAAATATTATTTTAAGAAATTTTGAATTAAATATTTATAAAATCAATAATTAAAACATGTATTTAATACATATAATTTAATCATATTTAATATTAACTATAAATAACAACTTGATGGTAAAAGCTTCCTTAGATGTAAATAATCATATGCTGTAAAAAATTTAACAATAATGTCATTTGATCAGAATTTTTCAAAAGAAAAAACAAAAAGAAATTTATGATAGCCTTCAATGATGATAAGGTGTGTGATGCGACGGAGGAAGATAGTAAAATATTTATTATAGCCTTCTGTATATCATTTTAAGGATGGCTAAGTCACTTGACATCTCATTCACAGGTTGGCCTCGGCAGATGTTATTGAATTTGGAGAAGAGTATGATGTGAAGAAAGAGTTGGAAGAGCTTAAGAAGACAATTGAATCTATCAATGATGTGCTCCTTGACGCTGACGACAAACAAGATCAAGTTCGTGTGCGTAATTGGATATCTGACTTCAAGGAAGTACTCCATGCTGCAGATGATTTCTTTGATCACCTTGCTATCGAATTTAGGAAAGACAAATTGGGTGCAGCTGAAGGAAAAGAAGTAAACAGGGTACTTCTTTCCATTTCATCGTCAAATCAATTTCCTTTATACACTGAAATGCCTGACAAAATTAAACAAATAGGAGAAAGTTTTAACGGTGTAGCAAAAGAAATGAAGGATTTAAATTTGTGCCCAAGATCTATTATGGTCAAGCAAACTGATAGTGGATGGAGGGAAACATGTTCTTTTGTGTTAGAGACAGATATCATTGGAAGAGATGATAGTAAAAAGGAGATTATCAGTCTGTTGAGACAACCTCATGAAAACCAAAAAGTTTCGGTGATTGCCATTGTTGGCCTTGGTGGTTTGGGGAAGACAGCTCTTGCTCAATTGGTGTATAATCACTTGGAAGTGCAGGAATTTTTTGAAATGCAAATGTGGGTGTGTGTCTCTGATGACTTTGATGTAAAAACTATTCTGAAGAAAATATTAGAATCAATTACTGGGGACCAAATTGAAGTATCATTGGGCAACTTGCAAAGAAAACTTCATGAAAAAATAAGTGGTAAGAAATATTTGTTGGTCCTAGATGACACTTGGAACGATAGACATGACAAATGGGCTGAATTGAGAAAGTACTTGATGTGTGGCGCTCAAGATAGTAAGATTTTAGTCACAACTCGAAGTGAAAATGTAGCAAAGGCAATGACTGCTAGAACTTCCTATCCTTTGAAAGGTTTGACTGAACAAGAATCTTGGAGTCTGTTGAAGAACATTGCATTTGAGGACGGTTCCAGAGGAGTCAATCAAAATCTAGAATCAATAGGGAAAATAATAGCCAGAAGATGTAGAGGGGTTCCACTGTCAATTAAAACCTTGGGAGGCCTGTTACGAGGACAAAACGAAGAAAGTGAATGGAAGAATGTTTTACGCGGTGACTTCTGGAAATTATGTGAAGAGCAAGACAGTATCATGCCAATTCTAAAACTCAGTTACCGCAACTTGTCGCCAGAAATGAGACAATGTTTTGCTTATTGCTCTTTGTACCCCAAGGATTCAAAAATTCCAAAGGATGAGTTGATTCAATTATGGATGGCACAGGGTTACCTTAAATGTTCGACTGAAAAACAGCAAATGGAGGATGTCGGCAATCAATTTGTAAAGATATTTTTGATGAACTCATTTTTTCAAGATGCGGATAGTGAATACGGTGAGATCATTAGCTTTAAAATGCACGATTTAATGCATGATCTTGCGATGCTAGTAGCTGGCAATGATTATTGTTACTTTGATAGAAAGGCAGAAAAAGTTGAAGGTAGACCCATGCACGTATCATTGGAATCCTATGAGGCCATTCATTTGTTGAAATCATTAGATCCGAGCAGGCTGCGAACTTTGATTTTGCCGTATTACTTGGAAGAGGAATATTTGTCGGTTATTGCTGAGTTCAAATACTTGCGTGTATTGAGGATGCATAGTCTATCTGATTCCACCGAACATTTGAAGCATTTAAGATACCTTGCTCTAGCGCAACAAACAAGTCTTCCCAAATCCATGAGCAATCTTGTTTTCCTACAAACATTAAAATTGGAGAAAAATGTTTCTTTCCCACAATCATTAAAATTGCGGTGGTGCTTTGAAGATCCATTTTCAGAAGTAGTCACAAAATTGGTCAATTTGAGGTGCCTTGATACTGTTTACCGCTTGAATGGAATGGCAGTTGGGTTGGGAAAATTATACTCTATGCAATTTTTATCGAACTTTGTTGTGGGAGACAGCCAAGAAATAAAATATGCCACATTAAATGAACTGAAGGACTTAAGTCTCAGAGGCAGATTAAGAATTGAGCATCTCAATCGTGTCAGAGAAGTGGCTCTTGAATCACAGCACGTAAATTTAAAAGAAAAAGAATTCCTTCAATCCTTGACTCTGGATTGGTCTCGTGAAGACCTCTGTTACAGTGACAGCTTGCAATTATTGGAAAACCTTCAGCCCCACCGTAATCTTAAGCGATTGGAGGTGAATCATTATCTAGGCGTGCTTTTACCAAATTGGTTTTCTCTCCTCACAAATGTTGTTCACATCACTCTCAATGGGTTTGATAATTGTCGCTGTCTCCCACTATTGGAACGTCTCCCTTACCTGAAGTCACTTGATGTAGAGTTTCTTCGCGAATTGGAATATATATATACCTACGAAGATGGTTTTGGGGTAACCTTCTTCCCCTCTTTGGAGAGCCTCAAATTGTGGAGTTGTCCCAAGCTCAGGGGATGGCGGAGGCGGGGAGATGATATCAATGATTCACATAATCTCTCCTCTTCTCTTTCATTTCCTCATCTTTCTCAACTAAAAGCCCATTGCTGTCCACAGTTGACTTGGATGCCTACTTTTTCAAAAGTTAAGGTTTTAAAATGGTTTGAATGCAGTGCAGAGCCATTTAAAGGAACACTAAACACAGCAGCGTCAACATGTTCAGCCGACTCATCTTCCTCTGCTGCTCCTCTTTCCATGCTCAAACAATTGACGATTTCTGATTTTATGAATTTACCGGAAGGTTGGATGCAAAATCTGACCTCTCTCGAGTCTCTTCAAATTGAGGAGTGTAAAAGTGAAACACTCATGGAATTTGAAATTGGCTTTAAGGACGACACCATCTGCCTTCCTTCTCTGCGAAAAATCAGCATAAGTTGGTGTATAGAGCTAAAGGCTTTGCCAGATTGGATTTGCAGCCTCTCGTCGCTTCAGCACATCGAGATCTACGGTTGCTCAAAATTGGCATCGCTGCCCGAAAGAATGAATGGTCTTGCCAACTTAAAGATCTTTGAGGTCAGAAATTGTTGCCTCTTAATTAAAGAGTGCCGGAAAGAGAGAAGTGTTGTTAGTCGCCGAATCGCACACATCCCACAAATAATCCTTCATGATTACTGATAATAAAGATACTCATCTGATGCGTATTTATTGAGTGTAAACGTCGTGTATTGTATTTGCTTTGCCAATAAAATACTTTGAGTTAGTGTTAATTTGTTTCAAACATAAATAGAAATTATCCTAATCATATTAATTTTCAATTGTTAAGTTTTTTTTTTTTCACTTGCACCGATACTATTACAAAAATATAATTTTTAAATTAAACTTTAAATATTATAGAATTTAATAATTTTTTTACCAAGTTTTGTTATTTTATCGATTGATATTTTGTTTGCATGCTCAAGTTTTGTTTATCTTATTTTATGTTACACAATTTATAATATATTTACTAAAACAATCAACGCTATCAATTTTTTTATTGCTTTTGTTGAAGTAAGTTGTCAAAAATAATCTTATGAGTCAGTTGATTAGAGATTAAGCAATTAGAGATACTTAAGCTAATGAGATAACTTTGTTGGATTTGTGAGTACATCTACTGAGGTTGACTATGATATTTTCTTGAACATTATAATGGGGTAACATCTTCCCACATAAAGTCATTAGAAGCCGGTTTCTTCCTTAAAATTGACTTGTGCTTACTCAATGCAAATTGGATTGTGTCTGTGTTGGATTCATATTTTCAAAATACTATGATTTCATAGTTTTCTTAGATAATAGATAGAAGAAATTTGTGAAAATAGTATCTAATTTCTTTTCTACCGTAGTAACATATTTGTTTAATTGGTAATTATTTTAATTTATATGTTCAATATATATGCATAATTCTATCTAGCATTCACCTAGCTATTGAAGAACATTGATGTTTTTAGTTTTACTATCTATCATTGTATACTTTACATTAAATTTGATCTATGATTGTAATTCTCCACCACAATAAATCCATTGCTATTTGTAACACCCTCAATTTTAATGCCTTTGTATAAGAAAAATAAGAATTTAGATGCAGAGTTTCTCGCTTAAGCGAGATAGGATTTTCTAAAAGAAGGCGTTGTGGAGCATTATTACTCAAGCGAGATAGGATAAAGTTGCTCCAACTATTCCCTCGCTCAAGCGAGAAGGAGGCCTCACCTAGGCTGGAAGTAGCTCGCTCAGGCGAGAAGTCACAGGAAACAGGATACTCTCTGGACCAATCTCGCTCAGGCAAGAATACTACTCGCTCACACGAGAGGCATCTTGCTCAAGCTAGACGTTTCTTGCTTAAGCGAGAATATTAGAAAATGCTTAAAATGACCACTATTTGCATATCTTGCTTGAGCAAGATATGTGTTGCTCAGGCGAGGGTCACCTCCCTCAAGTGAGAATGTACGGACCTAAGGGGTATTTAAGGGACCTCAACGTTAAAACTTTCATTATTCTCATCAAACAACCTTCTCCCCTTATTTGTCTCTATTCACTTACTATCTTTTTCTCAAAGAAATCTCTTTCAAACTCTGAATCTTGCTGTGCTAGATAATATGATGAATATGTATGTGGTATGCTAGATGGAATATGTTGAACTTGATAGATTCATATAATCGATGAAGAATGTTTAAATGTTCTTAGATGAGAGAAGGGTATGATATACAAAAGTAATGTGAATGTGGAATTACGAGATGTGTAATTATAATATGAGAGTTATAACAGGTTGATAGATGTGATTATGATACAAGTATTGTGATACATTGAAGGGTATAATTATAATACATGTATTGTAATATATCGACTTATATAATCATAACTTACTCATTATGACATACTGATTGATGAAAAATATGTGGAAATGAAAAGATAATGATATGAGAAATGATGAGAAAAAGTATAGATAGTCACAAAGATACATTAGAGGTGTGGAAGGCGGGGAGATTGTGAGAATTTGGGAAAAATGAGAGTAGTGGATGCTTTTCCATAACTACGTAAATTTAATGAAAATAGAGAGAAAAGACATTACAAGCCTCACACTCATTTCCTAACCTAAACTCCTGACTACACTTTTGCTAAAAAGAGCCAGATCAGAACACATGTGTATCTGTATTGCTGCGGCTAACCAGCAACTATCTATGCTATGAAGTCCTTAATGGATCTCAGGGGCAATAATTGTGGAATATGATGAATGTGTAATAATATATGAATTATGTGATTATAATATATGCATTGTAACATATTGATTCATGTTGTTATGATATATGTGTTGTAATACATCGATAGATGTTATTAAGACACATATATTGTGACATATTGATCGATGTGATATAATATATGTACTACTACATATAAATCAATTAAAAAATATATGTGCTTTGTGGTAATAATGAATTGTATGATTTGTGTGTTTTGTTAATGAGTGTACATGCTAAAAATTGTATTAGATGATATTTTAAATATTATAAAATTCTTCTTTTAGGTAAGGGATTTAGCCAGATGGATTATACTCGCCTTACAAATTATTTTTCAGGAGGACAGAAAAGAAAGAAATAAGGATGTTTGATCCGTTTTAGGGTTATATTCGCAAAAAATTATGGGAAAGAGCTGCTATGTTATGATTAGTTTAATTTAAGGAATATAGTAGTCTTAATTGAGTTTTTATTTGAAAATTGTATTATTATAAAATGTACCTTTATTTCGTTAAGAATGAGACTCGCATATCGGACAAGTTTTAGAATCTTCTAATTTTTATTTACTTGTATTTATGTATTTGTTCCTCTTCTAAAGTTATCCAATTTGTTATGAATTTCATCCATCATATTTTTATAATATGTATTATCACATAAAATTATTTGGATTATAAGAAGGAATGTTACTCTATTCTTCACAAGTTTTTAATGTTTGAGCTTGTAATTCTTTTTAGAATTCCTTTTTACTTTTTTACAATTTTAAATTAGTCTTCTATTCTTCTCCAAGTGAGAATAGATTTAGTACTTTATATGATACATAATTGATTATTTAATGTGATTAAGTACTACTTGAATAGGATAATGATCGATATTTATGATAGGACATTATTCTCCAACTACGCGAATGTTAAAATCCAATCAAAATGCTTAATGATCCGTACATTATTCTCCTTCATTTTTAATTTTCTTGTAAAATAATCAATCCACATATCATCTCCTATAGATACTGGAAAAATACATAAATTCATTTAAAAATATAATATTTAGAAATGAATCAAGAAAGGTAAATTAATAACTATTTAAAATAATTTTATATTATTTTTAATTATTAAATTGCTTTTATATTAAACTCAAAAACAAGGAAAATTGTTTTGATAGCAATGTTATGCAAAGAAAAATTGTTATTCAATTTTCCTTCATTTTTCTTATCACATGAAATATCACGAGACCTACTTAAAAAGATAAATTGATTTATGATTTTTTAAGATTATGAAAGAATTTTGTATGCAAGCAAAAGTGTCGTAAACAATGAGAATTTCATTATTTTTCTCTTTCATTTTGTTTCTATGCAAAGATATCATGTCGATAAAAAAATGTGAAAATAAATATTTTTTAATTTTTTAAAATGCTTTGAAAAATAATGAGTTTTGTTTTATTTTTAAGATGCAAAAATAGCATGTTAATGACGAGAAATAACTGTCATATTATGCATTATTGTTTTGATGTGCAATAATTGTTATGATCTAACTCTATTTGGATGCCTATTTTATTTGAAGAGAAGATAAATTGCCACAATATAATAAAATATGTAAGAAGCATTGTTGGATTTATTAGAAAAATTTGTAGTTTGATTTTAATTGGTCTGAGAATAATATTAAGATCGAATCATTTCTAATAGATATGTTGTAAATTTGAGTGAATTGTTTTTTTCTCTTATTTTACAAAACTTTGATTTGTTGGTTAATAATAAATAAATTTTCATTAATTAGAGTAAGAATACTCTGAACACCTATATTTTTCCTTGAAATGCGAATTTTATTGAATAATAAATAATGAATTTTAGAAAATAAAAAATTATTTAAAAGATATATAATTAATAAAAATCATAAAAATATTTTGAAAATAATAATAATAATTTTTAATTTTAATTTTATTTAATTAAAAAATATATAGAATATAATCAAAATAATAAAAAAAATATACTTAATGTTTTTATTAGATACTAATCTTATTATAAATAGTGATTAACCTACATATGTGAGGGAGAATATTTATTTACAAAGATTTTTTCCACGAGGAATTTTTCACAGATAAAAATTTTCAAAGAATTTTCACATAAAAAAAATACAAACTATCGAAAGCTATCATTGAAAACCAAGGTTTTAAGATTGAAACAAACTTTCTTCTTGTCAAAAAATTGAAAAATGAAGTTATTTTGGGAACACCTTTCATCAAAGCTCTTTTCCCGCTTTAGACTTCAAAATATGAAATTTCTAGTTACCATTTAGGTAAGCAAATAAATTTTAAATTTTCTAGTAAACCATTTACTAGAAATGTCAATTTTATTCAAAATAAGATCAATCAAATTAATTTTCTGAAAGAAGAAGTTTCTTTTGCCAACATTGATAAGCAGCTGAAGAATCCTTTACTTCAGAAGAAGATTCAATCCTTTACTTCAGAAGAAGATTCAATCCCTCCTAGATTATATCCAATCCTCTATATATTCTGATCTTCCTAATGCATTTTGGAATAGGAAGAAACACATTGTTAGTCTTCCTTATGAATCAGACTTCAAAGAAAGCCAAATTCTCACTAAGGCAAGACTCATTCAAATGAATAAAGAACTCCTTCAGTATTGTCAAAAGGAGATTAAAGATCTCTTAGATAAGAAACTTATAAGGAAAAGTAAGAGTCCTTGGTCGTGCTCTGCTTTCTGCATAGGAAACAATGTGGAGATGATAGTTAAGTTCAAAGAAGATATAATGAAGATCCTTCAAAATGATCAACCTTGACTTGATGAACTACTTCCTTGGAATAGAGGTAAAATAAAAGAAAAAAGGGATATTTATCTCGCAAAAGAAATATGTTGAAGCATTTCTCAAGAAATTCCAGATGAATGACTATAAGATTGTTGAGACTCCATTAGTAACAAATGAGAAATTGAAGAAAAATGATAGAGCACTAGAAGCTGATGCATCACGCTACA